CTATTTGACGGTTTCTAAGGTTTTGCAGAAGCTCAACACTCAAATCTCCCACAAGATCTCATCGTCAGCTACATTTAGGATGGATTCTTTTCTCAATCAACTTGACCCGTCTTGAAGAACGGATCTACTAATGACGACTTAAAGCTCAAGTAGCTAAAGCTCAAGCAGCTTAAAGCTCAAGTAGCTTAAAGCTTAAAGCATCGATAGGTTCTGATAAGCGGTTTGAGATTTCGACGAATTTAGGCAACGCTTAGGGTGCACTACTATTAGAGAGAATATATCAAATAAAAGAAATTACTCACGAGATTTTACTCAAGTTTTTTTTTCGAGATTTTACTTACTCTATCAATCATTTCGGATTCATTTTTCTTTTTGATTATTCTTTGATTTTATTACAATACGTTTTTTTAGGATGGATTCTTTTCTCAATTAACTTGACGATCAAGAACGGATCTACTAACGACAACTTAAAGTTGAAGTGTGTAAGCTGAGAACATTAAAGTAAAGGTTTTCATCATGGTTGATCGATTAGCTAAAATCTCAAGCGAATTGCATCCAAATTGAGGTGGGTCTGACCTGGTTTTGCTTGGTCTAAAGCTGTTTACTCAATAGTAAAGCTGTTTACTCAATAGTAAAGCTGCTTGCTCAATAGTAAAGCTGCTTACTCAATAGTAAAGCTGCTTACTAGCAGATCACCTTCTCGAGTTTTTAAATAGCTCTCAGTTGGGAGGTTGAGTTGCGAGTCAGAGTTTTGACGTTACCTTAACCATTTCCGATTTCCAAAAGCTTCTCAACTATTCCAGTTCGGTTACAACAATTAGTTTAGCCATTTTCCAATTGTTTTACTTTGAGAAATTCTTAACCTTTCTATTTTAGCGTTTTTTGAAGCCCAATTTTTGCAAAATCTTTCCAATTCAACTTTTATCTATGATTTTTTTGCTTTACTATCGTCACTAGACTTTTCACAATAAGAAAACTCAATCAATCTCAATCAAAACGTGTTTATCCCAAATTTCTCATAGAACAGTATAAAGTATTTCCAATGTTTATCGAGGAATTGCAAGGGAAAGAGGAAAGTGCCGGTGGCAAAAACGCTATATGAGTTGAGTTGACAAACAGCAAGAATTTGAGCCGGAGATTTGATGGATGGGATCAGAGGATCGCATAAGAATAGATTGGAAGAATGATTGGATGTCATTTCGTTCTCGAGGAATATCAGTTTATCAAAAAAAGGCGATGACTGTATAATTGTTTTTGGGTATCAGCCTTGCTAAACCAGACCTGTGGTTGTTTGATAGTAAACAAAAAGACCTGGTGAGTAAATAGAGAAACGAAATCAAACCAATTCAACTTTCCATCTACTTGATTTTTTTGGCTTTACTATCGTCACTAGACTTTTCACAATAAGAAAACTCAATCAAAAAAACGTGTTTATCCCAATTTCTTCATATAATTTGAACTTCTTTTGAACCCCGAACAAATTTTTCTTTCAAACGAACACACTAAAGTATTCTTTTTTTTTCCTTTTTTGTGTCATTTTGAATGAATTCTAAAGAGTGGGTCTAAGAAGTTTCAGTTTGAAAAGAAAAGAAAAAGAAACAAATTAGCATTATATGAGGAAAAAGAAAACTACGGTTCTTTACTGAAAGATGTATTTGAAAGACTTTTGGTTTCAATTTTTTTCAAATTCCTGTCACATTTTTGAAATCACATTTAAATCAATAAAAATAACCAAAAATCATTGAAACTTTTTACATTTTGATTTCTTTCTTTCTTTCTTTCTTTCCTCTCTCTTTCTTTCTTTCTTTCTTTTCTTTCATTTCTTTCCAACTTTCTTTCATTTCTTTCTTTCTTTCTTTCTTTCTTTCATTTCTTTCATTTTCACTTCTTTCAGTAAAGATTTTTTATCCTATTACTGTATCCTATTTTTGTATCCCATTTTTGTATCCCATTTTTGTATCCATTTTTTGTGTCGCATTAATCCCCTTTCTAATTGGAAAGAATTCAGCCAATTTAAACTTAGGAAAACTTCGTCTAAAGCTTCTTGCTTCCATAGTTCTTAAAAACTATCAGATCACCTTATCGGAGCTTTTTAATGGCTCTCAATTGCGACGTAGAGTTGCCAGGTGGTGACGTTAACCCTTTCCGAACTTAACCATTTTCGATTTCCAAATGCTTCTCCAACTAAGTCCGATTTCGGTTCTAACAATTAGTTTTAGCCATTTTCTAATTATTGTTTCACTTTGAGAAATTTTAAAATCACATTTAAATCAATGAAAATAACCGAAAAATCATTGGAACTCTTTTTCATTTTACTTCTTTCAGTAAAGGGTTTTGGATTCTTATTTTTGGATTGCATTTTGGATTCCATTTTTGGATCCCATTTTTATGCTTCATCTCTTTTCTAATTGAAAGAATTCCCCTATTTCAAACTTAATTTAACTTTAGCCCAAGCTCATTCATTTAAGTCCCTTATCGATCTCTAGGGTTTAGGCTTTAAAAAACTCCCCCTTTTGAAATACCATTTAACCCATCTCATTCGGAAATACCATTTAACCCATCTCGTTTCCGGAACCCCAAATTTAGCAGATTCGTTTTGAGCAGGACGAGTCAAACTCGTCAATAAAATTCATTGATTTAAAACCCCTGACCCAAACTCGTTACCCCTAATTTAGTAAAGAGTCAGCTGGCTTAGACCAAGACTCTATTGCACCATAAAATGCAAGATCTTGAGTCCAAAGTGCAAAAATACTTGCAGTCTGGATAAGGCTACAACGTGGAAAACACTGTTTCATTTCTACATTCTATTGCCAGAAAACGTGTCAATTAATCTCAATTCTGAAATCCGAAGATTCTCAAAAGCCATTAAGCCATTCAAATCTCAAAAGCAATGAGGAGAATTGGATCTGAGTTTTGGAGGGCAGTATCCAGATGAATTTCAGAATTAAGCCCTTCGGTTAGAACACAGGCCACATTCCTAAGCGAATGTTTGATCATGCTCAGGCTCAGGCTCAGGCTCTGGCTTCAAATGTCCCTTATTGGGGATAGCTTCCAGTGCCACATTTCAGATGCGACAAAGAAGGTACTCAGATCAATTAAAATCGATTCAGTGGATTCAGCTGTTGTTTGAAATCATTCAAACACCAGACGTCATTTGGAATCATCCTTTCAAATCGAAAATTCGAAGCTATTATGACTAAATGACTGTTTCGCCGAGTGAAAGAGGACCAAGTTCCACGAAATAAAAGATCTTGCATTATAGGTACTTGTTGTGAGATTCTTTCCGCTCTACGTCCCGTAACTCAACTCTAATCGAATCTAATCTCAATCTAACTCCCTAGATTTGGATCATCTTAGGCACTTGCCGCTCTATGTCCCGTAGCTCAACTCTAACATAATCCCAAGCTAACTCTAGTTTTGCATCATCTTAGGCACTTGCTGTGCGTTCCTTGCCGCTCCACGTCCCGTAAACCAACTCTAACCTAATCTCAATCTAACCCTAGACCTTTTCTGATTTGAAATGCTCAAACTTTTAACTCAAAACCATATTCAAACAAAAAGATTTTCGTTGTAATTTCCTCGAAAAAACTTTTAGCCGCCTAATTTTCCTTTTTCAAAATTCTAATTGCTTTTGTGGCTTTTTGGAGAAAAAAAAAAATGTCAATGAATACGCGATCTTGCGGAATTTCCTTAAATTTGATTAAAAGTTCGCAATTTTATTTCAATTTTATTTCTTGCGCAATTTTCTTTAATGAAAACTTTGAAATTCCTATTTATGTCAGATAAAATTTTGAGCTTTTTCCCCGTTGCCAATTGCAGAAAATGTCTTTTCCAAAAGTTTTCCGTTTTCAGAATTTATTTTTCACGGTGCTAATGAGCGTTGGTCAAACTTTTTCCCCCCTTGCTTTCGGCTTTAAATTACATGTGCAAGTATTGATTGTTACTTGAGGATGAGAAAATGCACTCAATTCTATTGGCAAATATTGGGTTGGTGAATTGAAAACCGCCGGACTTTGAACTAAAATTTATTCAACATAAAACCATCAATTCATTGCAAATAATTTCCATTATTATTGACAACTTCTGTCCATTTTACAGGCAATTTGCGGATTCCTCTTTGGTGGTAGGATTTTGGTTTTGAATTGAAAAACTTTCAAAGTCAATTTTTGACTGCTTCTTCCGAATCGAAGTGTTCTCCCGCAAGCTCATTACTCATGGTCCGGAATAAATAGTAATCAGAAGGGCAAGGTCCGGACTGTATGGGGGATGTACCAAAAGTTCTCAACCGAGGCTGTTTATTTTAGAGCGAGTCAGTTTTGCAACAGGAGGGCGCGCGTTGTCGTGGAGGAATGAGGCAATGAGTTGGTAATGAGTTCGAGTAATTTGGAATCATCCAGTTGGGGTTTTACAGGTAATTTTGCGGATTCCTCTTTGGTGGTTGGTTTGTGTGTGAGACAAGGTGTGAGACTCAAAAATGAGGGACTGGAGATGTCCCAGTTTGAGCACTTTCTTCAAAAGAAACCCATTTTGGTGTCAACAGAAAAGTTGTAGAGAATCAAAAATGAGAGCTTATAGCCAAATTTCCAAAAAAGATACATTTAGTAGTTTCGCTTAAAAATGCAGGTTTTGTGAAATTGCGTAAATTTTTGCATTTCTTGAAAACCAGTTTTTGAAACGTTCTGAAAATTTGGATATAAGCTTATTTCTTGATTCTCTACAACTTTTCCATTGACACCAAAATGGGTTTCTTTTCAAGAAAGTGCTCAAACAGTGACATATGACAATAGCCGGCAGTTTTCAATTCACCAACCCAATAGATCAGCTTTATTGACTTCTTTAACTGTTTAAGGTCAACAATGACTTAAAAATTGCTTAAAACAGAGCAAAAGAAGGCACTAAGCTCACTAAACAAAAGATATCTAACCTCAAACTTTAGATAGATAAACTTTTGACAATAGCCCGCAGTTTTCAATTCACCAAACGAATAGATTGAGATTAGCCTTGATTTGCCGAGAAGTCAATGTCCAATTCGAGGATTCGGAGTCGGCCAGATTAGTTTGGCAAAGGGAGAGGGAAGGGGTTATGTAAAAGCCCTGCGCCAGGCGATGAGCGATTACGCGGCCGCACAAAGAACACACAGAACACACAAATTCTCGAAACTACTAAGTGTATCTTTTTGGAAATTTGGCTATAAGCCTAATTTTTGATTCTCTACAACTTTTCTATTGACACCAAAATGGGTTTCTTTTGAAGAAAGTGCTCAAACTGGGACATCTCGAGTCCCTCATTTTTTGAGTCTCACACACAAACCAAAATCCTAACACGAAAGAGGAACTCAAACTGTTAAATATGACAATAGCCGGCAGTTTTCAATTCACGAATCGAATAGATTGAGATTAGCCTTGATTTGCCGAGAATTCAATGTCCAATTCGAGAATCCGGAGCCGGTCAGATTAGTTTGGCAAAAGCGAGAGGGAAGGGGGGTTATGCAAAAGCGTTGCGCCAGGCGATGAGCAATTACAACAGCCGTCGGTTTTCAATCACAAATTCAACCCAATAGTATACCTTGTGTTTAAATGTTGTAAATGTAGGGAAATGTTGTTTTTCTTGTTAAAAGCAAAAGAAAAACTGACTTGTGCACGTCGCACAATCCACCATCGGATTGCATAAATTCGACTCGAATTCCCTCAATTTCTTTTGAGAATCCCTTTGTGAATCCCCTGATATACTCTGCGATTTTTGGAGTCAGATACGCGTCAGCGCAAACTGAAAATTCATTTTGCAAAAGGAAAATCGGCGGGGCTTAGGGGCTTTTATACGCGCGCCAGCCTCTTTGCCATTGCCATAACTTTAAGCTCAAATTTCTTGGTGTTGAGCTGTTCAAATGAAATAGTTTTTGTACCAATCGATAGAGAAAAAGACTTGGCGCATCTAATGATATCAAGAATATTGAAATTGGACAACCAAAAGCCAAGAAATGTGAGCTTAAAGTTATGGCAATGACAAAGGGGCGGGGCTGAGGGGCTTTTATACGCGCCTTTACCATTGCCATAACTTTAAGCTTAAATTTCTTTGTGTTGAGCTGTTCAAATGAAATAGTTTTTGTACCAATCGATAGAGAAAGACTTGGCGCATCTAATGATATCAAGAATATTGAAATTGGACAACGAAAAGCCAAGAAATTTGAGCTTAAAGTTAGATCTAACTTGAGCTAATGAGAAAAGGTAAAAGAAATAGGAAATGGAGGCTTATCAGCTGTCCAATCAATTTTTAAACTCCTCGAGTTACTAGTTCAAAAGAAGATGATAAAGGGGAAAACTTAAAAGTCATAAAAAATTTACCCGTGAATCCCCTGGGCACAGCTTTAATCATCGGCATTGCTTTGTGTGAGAGTGAGATATTCTTGAAGCCGATCGCTTTCGCTAGACGTTCAACGGCTAGCTCATGCGCGGGATAACTAAAATGATCATTAAGTAAAGGTAAAGTTTGATTTTTGATTGATTTTTGTTATGAAAGTTGAAAGAATTCAATGAAAAGCTTGAATGAAAGGTTTAAAGAACTTAAATGATCTTGAAATAAAGTAAAGCTTGGCTTTTGATTCACCTGATTGATCCTTTTAGACTGCTAGACTGCTAGACTAAGCCATTTTTGTTATGAAAGTTGAAAGAATTCAATGAAAAGCTTGAATGAAAGGCTTAAAGAACTTAAACAAGCGTTCTTGAGCGTTCTTCAACAATTTCAAGAATTTCTTTTCATTGAGAGCTCAAGAATCTCATTCAATTATTCAAATTTTCTGTAAAAAGCCATAAAAAAAGTCAATTTTGGATTCAAATTTGTCCAAAATTTCCATTTAACAAAACAATTTTACTTCAAGAAACCGAAATTCCAAAAAAAACTTGTTTTAAATTTTGTTTGTTTTAAATTTTGTTGGATGTTAGATTTAAAATCTTTGCCCCATTACTAGAGCTTACTTCATTGTTCTATTTCTCTTACAAATCCCATATCAATAGATTTTTGTCCCCGATAATCCACTTTACATGTATGAGTGAAGAAAGAGAACAGCTAATGAGTGAAAACCATTCGATTTGATCTCTTCCAATGAAACACGCAATTCCTCGTCGTTTAATGATCGTTCCACCAAGATCTGTAAAATGATTGTTTTCAAGAAAGCGCTTTACTCGATTATTAGAAATATTAGTTGAGTAAAATGTTTCCTTTTTATCTTACAGATTTGTTAACACTTATTATCAAATGTCTTTTTGGAAAGAAAAGAAAAACAAAGTGAGCGCCTCTTTAGTGTCCTTCACTATATTGAGAGCCCAAGCTATCGACTATTGACTATTTCTTTTTTTATTTTGCTTCAATTTAATCATAAACGTAATCAGTAGGTAAGATAATGCCAGAAGAAGTGTTTTTGACTGTTTTGTTTTGTTTGTTTGCTGTTTTGAATGTTTTGAGAGACCATTTTTAGACTTCTTCCCCACTAAAATGATTGTTTTCAAAAAGCGCCTTACTCGATTATTAGAAATATTAGTTGAGTAAAATGATTCCTTTTTATCTTACAGATTTATTAAGACTTATTATCAAATGTCTTTTTGGAAAGAAAAGAAAAATTTCCATGAAAAACTGATTCGAAATAAATCAGTAAGAAAATCGGAGAAAAGCTTACAAAAATCATCAACTTTGAGATCATTCTAAAACCGATTTTAATCGATTTCCACAAATCTTTTCGTGATTTTTGATTGCATATCCCGGAATCAGTCCAATAAAATGCGCTATTTCACTTAATTCAGTGGCCAATTCGTGCGCTTTCCTAGTTAGCATTTCTTGTACGTAAAAGCATCCAGATCTTATGATCTTATGTAAAAGCATCCAGATCTTATGATAGCCATTTGCTTTTTAAATCTAAATCTAAGCATACACATTTGAATAGTCGTGCTAAAGTTGTTGAAGATTTTATGTCTAAAATTTTGTCTCTATTTTTTATATCTTTTGTGAATCCTCACAGAATCACACACAAAAAAAGTGGATAGATTAGATAAAAATAGACAAGATTACGATAGAAAAAGAAAGGGGAGACACGATTTTGAAAATGAATTTGATTAGAAAATGAATTAGAGGATATTCAATATTTGAATTTTATCTAATTTTTGAATTTTATCTAATTCAATTCAATATTTGAATCTTATCTAATGCTCAAATTTAATTCTTAAAATCGCTTTTGAAATTTAAATGAAAAAGCATGTCAAATGAAAGCAAAAAATTATTAGAAAATCTTATATTCTAGTACTCTTTTTTTTCTGTTTTCCGAGCAAATACGAAATCATTCTTATCTAAAAATCCCTCATTGCATGACCTCATTTTCAATATTCCTAATGGAATCTCAAAGTTTATCAAGATTATCTCAAGGGAAACTCCCCCCCATTCCTCCGAGGCTTTCCCCTTCTTTTTGATGTGCAAATTTCCTTTTCAAATGAATTCAAAAAAAATCAAATTTCCTCACTTTTTGTCCATTTGTTGCCATTGCTTCCTCGCCAATCTCTTTCATTTCACATTTTTGATTACTCGGAATCACCCGTTCGTCAATTTCAATCACATCCGAATATAGAACCTAAAGATTATCTTGTTTAATTTTGTAAAATTCTAAATTCTAAAAAATAAAAATTTTTTAAAAACTCACCTCCGGTATCCGAATGTCAAAGTCGAAAATCCTCGGTCTTGACTGATTCCCAATGAATAAAAGATCTAAAAGTCGACTCGTATACGTTATTGAGCCGTAAATAATTACAATAATTACAATGTGCCATCAATTTACCGACCTTTGAATCCCTTTGTCACCAATAATGCTGTTTTCTCCTTTTCTTTCTAAAAGAGCATTCGTCGCCACAGTGGTTCCCATGCGAATCCAAGCGATATTCTCTGCAAAAAGTATATGATCTAAATAGGATCTGATTTGAATCAATTCAGATCTAATCTAAATCAATTCAAATCTTTATTTCTATCTATAGCTGACCAGTTGGTATCAATTCTCCCTCCGAATCTCTCCTTTTGTTTCCCTCTTCCAATACCCTTCGAATCGCCTCCGTTGGCGCATCAGCATAATTTTCTGGATCTTCACTCAACAATTTGAGTACTCTAAATTTTTTTCAGCACTATCTGGAGACTATCTAGATAATTTTTGATATCATTATATTGTAGCATTAAGCTTAGATTAGGCTATCATCCGGGTTAACGGACAGTTTCGTCATGTTTAGAACCTGTTTCTCTCTAGTAATTCGTTTATATTCTTAGCTCAAATTTGGGTTTTCTAAACAGTAATTTAAACAGTAATCTAAATGACAATTTCTCTTGAATAATGCATTTTCTAAAAGGCACCTAAAAGGCTACGAGGGAAAATTTGAGAAAAACTATCGTAATCATTATCGTTAGTTTACATTCCGTTGGGTGAATTTTGTCAAGAATTACAAGTCTCATACAGGCTGATCAAATGTAAACTAACGGTTTGACTACGTTCATTTTCCAATAGCAGTAGCACTGAAATTGATTTAAACGCTGGTAGATGGTGGCATTTTTCTCTTTTTATCGACTTACACTCAAAAACAAAGTTGTACTTTGATTAGTTTCTAATATTATAAGCCTAAAAGGCCAGTTTTGATCATTTTTGGCCATTTTTGATCATTTTTGACCTTTTTCTATAGCGGATTGTATTCCGGATCTATGTCCAAGGCAGCATTAATCCGGTGGCCGCTCAGTACTCTAGTTATAGCCTAGTTTTGCAATTAGATCATTAGGCTATTTGAGAAAATGATATTTCGGTGATATGCTATCGCTCACTGCTTCATATCTTTGGCGTTTAAACTAGTGTTTTAAGTTTTCACTATTGAAATTTCTATTCAAAATGTACGACTTATAAAGATTTACTGATTAAATCATTTAGCAAAATCCCAAAATTCCTCACCTCGTTTTCCCGTTTGGATAAAAGACGCACACATCCGTAAAAGTCCCACCCCGATCCACAGCAAAACCGATTTTTGTCATCAAAAAAAGAAAAATTTAGAATATAAACATGAAAGTTAAAGAAAAAAACAATTATCTTAAAAAATCGAGCCCAAAAACATCACTAATCCATAAAAGAACTTGCGATTATTAGTGGATTGATAGGGGAAATCGGGGAAAAAAGGTCGACGGCAGAGAAGGGAAAAGAGTAGATTTTTGGGGAGAAATATTAAGGAAATTTCGGAGATATCGGATGAGAAAAGAATACAAAAAAAAAGAGAAAAGGATCAGCTTTGATCGAAAAGAAAAGACAACAAGACTTCGATTTCTTATAGGAAAAATTGTGAAGGTATAAGAAAACTAGTTTTATATATGCCGTAGCCGATTATGAATGAACTTTTTTGGCAAATCTTTCTAGTAGAGCAACCCTTTAACATAATTTAACATAATTATTAATGATTCTGCGTTGAATGATACTAAATACTTGATGGTTGGACGCTCCTAGACCCACTCATTCATAATCGGCTACAACATATAGATAAACAAAGGCGAGCACCTGTTTACTTTGATTTTTTTTTGCTCACTTGGTTCAGTGCAAGGCCTGTTTTTTGTACTTAAAGGTAAATACACTCTCTCTAGTGCACGTAGGTCTTTGTTTTTCTCATAGAAACCATGAAAAACTGCTCACTGCACCAAAAAAAAGATGTGTTTACATGGCTGAGCACAAAGTACACGCCTAAGAACTGACACACCAAAAAAATCATACAAAAAAAGTTTCTTTTCTTCTGACTACAGCCGAACTTCGATACAACGGAGCTGCAAGGAACCGGCCGAAGAGTTTGTTACATCAAAATTTGTCATATAGAAACAAATAACCGAAGTTTGTGATCAATTCGCACCAAATTCCTGTAAAATTTCCCCTCAACACTTTGGCTTTCAACTTTTCGATATCATTGTTGTTGATCTTGGCAGCTTCCCTTTTAAAATTCGAACAACAACTCCGTGACGCTTCTTGAATTTATCCAGTCAGCCACTCGCTTGAAAATCGCTAATTCCTTCAAAGCTTGCCAACTCCATCGCTTTCTCTCGAAGCTGCCGTCAAAAACATTCGTTTTGACTGCACATTTGCTCAAAATAAGCAGACTCTTCGATTGATTCGTATTTTCTCGTCTTCAATCGTTCTCTTTTATATGCAATCTATCCAACCATCTTCATCGATTGCTTCCATCTCTAAGAATTGTTGAAATCATTGATGCGACATTTCGAAATCCGGTACTAGTCTACTTGAAGGACGGGGGGCACTTTTTTTTTCTTCAAAACCACTTTCTCTGCGGTAGTTTTATGCGTAGATTCCGAAAAACACAACGAGAGCTTAGGGAAATGCGTTTTAAACCGAGTTTTGCGGTTCCAAAGCTCATACAGTGTGTTGAGAGCAATACACATAGGGAAGAGGTCTAAAAATGGTCTCTTAAAACATTTTTTGAACCCAAAAACACTTCTTCTGGCATAATCTAACCTGCTGATTACGTTTATGATTAAATTGAAGCAAAATGAAAAAGAAATAGACAATAGTCGATAGCTTGGGCTCAATATATTGAAGGACACTAAAGAGGCGCGCACTTTGGAAGCCCAGAAGAGTCCCGAAACTTGCCTTAAACGCATTTCCTCAAGTTCTCGTTGTGTTTTTCGGAATCTACGCATAAAATTACCCCAGAAAGAATGGTTTTGAAGCAAAAAAAAGTGGCTCCCCCCGCTCCAAGTAGTACTCGAAATCCTTCGCCAATTCAACCATTCCTTTCGATTGCTCGACTATTCGCTTCTTTAAACCCCAATCGATTGATCGACGCGTTGACTTTCCTCGATCACCTAAAAATATAAAAATATTCTCAAAAATTAAAGAAAACTACATAAAAAGAAAACGGGATAAGTTAATTTCCGTAATTTTTTGGTGCAACTGGGTCGTTTGCGCAACTCGCCATAATTTTCTTCTAAGTGGGCCAATCTTTATGATTTTTGGTTTCATTTTTGTAGATCTCAATAAGTGCAACAAAATGAAACCAAAAGCATAAAGATTGGCTGACTTAGAAAAAGTTAGTGACTAGTTGCGCAAACGACCCAATTGGCAAGAAAATTGCGGAAATTAGCCAACCCCAAGAAAACGACATTAAGCACACTTAAGATAAAAAGGGGGTGGGACAAATGCGGCCTTTTTGCACACCTGGACATTTGCGCACCTTTTTTGCTGGAAAAGGCCTTAGAGCTTCGAAAATGTTTCTTATAAGGGAATCTATGCGTAGATTCCGAATTTCGACAAATCAGACCTCGCTGACACGTCAAATTTGGGCTAAAAGGCAAAAACTGCGGAAAAGCATTAAGTTGCGTAGTTTTTGCCTTTTAACCCAAATTTGACCTGTCAGCGAGGTCTGATTTGTCGAAATTCGGAATCTACGCATACGAATCCCTTGTATGGAAATATTTTTGAAGCTCTACGACTAAGGCTTTTTCCAGCAAAAAAGGTGCGCAAATGTCCAGGTGCGCAAAAAAAAGGTCGCATTTATCCCACTCCCAAAAGCGTTACAAGAAATAAGCAAGCTAATTGTAAAGCATTTCAAATTAAGCAAAAAAAAACTTTAGTTATTCAGTCAAAAAGCAGAAATCCATTTGGTTTTGCCCACATTTTAAGAAATAATCCGTTATATGAAAAAATGAAATATACGGTAATATATCCAGAAAGTGTTTGTTATATCGAAATTTGTTTCTTTATTATTAAGCGTTTGATCGTTTTCGAATATTGGTTTCATTATATCGAAGTGTACAGTTAGATTTGATAGTCATTGATGGTCATTGATGGTCATTGATGGTCATTGATGGTCATTGATGACAGTTAGATTAGCTAAAAGTTCGCAGAGTTTTTCTAACAACTTTCATTCTTTATTTTCACTTTCTTCAAAAGAAAAACCAAATTTTAGGCAGAGAAAATCTCTCGAAAATGATGATCAGACTATTCTTGGTGTTATCGCTTTTTTCGATGGCTTTCGCTTTCATCGAACATCGTTACAGAACGTGAGTGAAAATTTGGAAAATGCTGAGTTTTTTGCGCTAATTTCATTTGTGCCAAATTTATGCTTACCGTAAATACTGTAATAGTACCCCATAATGACGGGCGGAGCATCGCGTAGTCTAACTTTGAACGACTTTCTCGACACTGGTTTATGCTACAATGCTCGCTTAGGTATCAAAAAAAAGCTGAAATTCAGGGCTATTTTGATACCTGAACGGGCGTGCCAGCATAAACGAGTGTCGAGAAAACCGGTCAAAGCCAGACGACGCAACGCTCCGCACCGTCATATGCGGGGGTGGGACTATTACAGTATTTACGTTAGTTGGAATGTTGTCGCCTAACTATTCTTTATAGCTTACAGTATTTACGGCGGTGACAAATCACTTTCCCCCAACTTCTAATCAACTTTTACAGTTTTCTGCTTCACAATTTTAATTCTCGTATTGTTTTCAATTGAAAAAGATATTTAAATACCTATACAGGACTTCCAAAAATAGTCATTTTTATGTCCCCGATTGGGCTTTTTACTCTCTATATCAATCTTATGCCATTTTTGGCAAAAGAGAGCATCTTCGACATTTGAAGGTGACAAAATAGCGAGCATTGTCGATAAGGATTGGAAGAAACTGAATGAAAAATAAAATCGCCAATCAGAGTTGGTAGGAAAATGTGTTAAAGAGTGCAAATTTGGCGCAAATGATACGTAACCCGAAAACAATTTAGCTAGCAAAACTAGCAAAACAGCAAAACACTGCTAGCAAAACACTAAACTTTCATTTATACCGCAAGGAAAGCTTTTTTTTACTGAATAAAAGCCCTAAGTAAAGCAAAAGATTTAAAGGAAAATTGAGAATTTGACTTGATGCTGTCAATTTTAAAAGTCAAAACCATGTCAAAAGTCTGGTTTTGGCCTCAACAATTTATTAGCAATCAATAATAGTGAAATTTATAGTAAAAATAGTGAGATTTCGATCGAAATTCACTAATTTCTATATAAAAAAGTCGACTTTATTCAATATTCCCTACATTTTTCAGAGGTTTCCGCAACTTTCATTCAGACGCCAGTGCGCCAAGGGGTGCAGAGGTTGATTTTTTCAACAAATATCTATCTATTACTTTGCAAAAGAAACTATGTTGATGTTGGAAAGTTGATACACTTTTCTTATTTCAGCAAAACAGTATTTATCATACGCCAATTGAATTAGATTCTCTAAATATTAGGCAATTGCAAAAGAAACTATGGATTATAGCCAACAAAAGCCATCACAGCAAAATCAATAAGAAAACAATTTGATTCTAAAAAGATATTAGCAATCAATAGGAACCATTATTATAAACTATGTTCTTTGATTTTTTTGCGTAGACTTCGGATACCTGATTCGAAAAAATTGGAGCAAATTGTCATTGGATTAACGCCTCTTTCTCGTAGAATTTCATCAACTTTCTTCAGCTGTCCGGCGTAGATTTGAGAAGTTATAAGTTTTCGTGGTCCCGTGACGCAAAATAGTCTTGCACCCATTTTAATTTCGACTTCCTCAGCATTGTTAAACTTTTTGATTTGCAAGAAAGTGTTGCATCGATGTGGAACAAATCGAAATCTGAGGGGAGCAAGATCAGGCCGAATATAGCAGATGAGGCACAACTTTCCAGCCTAGTTCTTCTATTGTGTTTTGAGCCAGGTTTGATATGGCCAGCGCGGGCATCGTCATTGTCATTGTCATGGGCATTGCCAACGAGCAGTCGATTAACGATTCATTGGATTAACGCCTCTTTCTGTGGAATTTCATCAACTTTCTTCAGCTGTTCGGCGTAGATTTGAGAAGCTATAATTTTGAAGAATTTCGTCCTTCAAAATAAACGATCCCACTTCATATTCCAAAGATTGACAGCAGAACGACTGAGAGACGGAGAGAGACTGAGAGACTGGACAAAACGGACAGCATAACTTTCTTTCCGTGAAGATCTGAATGTGATGTCTGGA